CCCGCGGCACTGGCACACCTCGGCCGATTCGTACCTCATCTTGTTTGATGTAGTTCACGGAATCAGCCGAGGTTTGCCGAATGCGTCCGCGGAAGTGACTTTATTTATAGCGCATGCGTATTAAAGACAGTAAAAGAGTTCCCTTCAGGGGAAATAACTCACCTTTTGAAAATGGGGAATCAGAATGCGCTTGATTGTCAATTCTCCTTGTGTGGCTTACCAGTTTAATAAGGCATCATATGAGATCAATATATATACGACACACCGAAATATAGATATTTATAAGCATCGTACTTCTTTTCTAAATTTTCCTTGGCTTTCAAATAGGCCTAAACCGAAAGTAGATCATACACTTCTAAGCTAGTTCTTCTAAAATAAAACAAGTTTAAAGGCTTCTTGGAACTCCTTGTGTAGATTCTCACTTGAGATATTGTAAAACATCGAGGATTCTCGAAAGGTTAATGGAGGCTTACACTAGGACTTCACTTCCGGCATACAATCTTACGTGTGTCATCTCCCGAGGGAGATGACAATAAAACAGGCTTTAGTTATTTTGGGAGGGGCAGGGATGAGAATTTAGTAATGTTGATTTAATGTAAACGAAGAAGCTTTTGTGAATTTTTTCTTCTGTTCTACATTATTCAGCACAAATTTTTCAAATTATGCTACCATTGGTATACACTATTTAATATGTTTTACGGTGTGACCGTTGGGGCGAGCGCAGTAATTTACACTTAAAAACCTATACACAGATTTTACTTGCACTGTCTATCCTCAGTTCATTAAAATAAGAGGAAAAAACAGAATAATTAGAAAGAGAATTCACATCCCAGACATCGGGATCGAGATTCCGAAATTCTCGGAAGTTTCCGACAAAATCGGAAATACCCGAGCCGTGTAAGTGACGAAAGAATGACGTCAAATTAAAAGTTCTGTTGCGTTTGGACGCAAACGATTGTTTTTTTGGCATGGAGATTGCATTTAATCATTGTTTGTAATTTTTTCAAGTAAGTTGTTGCTATGTTTAAGCTACCATGTTGCTATGCACCGCAAAGGATTATTGGTAGTTTGGAATCTTTTCACGCGGTGAGATAAAAATTTCTTGGAACAATGTGCAGATTTCAACCCGAATTTCCTCCGTTCGTACACGTTAGTCTATTGAGCTCGCTACGCCAGAGCGGCGCTTGGCGCCGCCTTCGCTGCGCTCGCCTTTAATGATTTTCCATGAGATGGCAACTCAACAAAACTGTCTCTAAGGATGCTTTCACTAAATTTTATTATGTTTAGGTAAAACATTCTGGAAAATGTGAAAAATTGGCTGCATCAAAAGCCAGATAAAAATAAGCCATACATGGATTGGAATAGCTAGTTTAGAAGAGCTAATGAGAGATGGTTATCTATAACAACAATACCTGATATAAGAAGCATAACAAAGCTTAACTCTTAAACAGCATTCAAACCGTTTCTCTAATCATACATACCACACTTTCTTCTAAGCCTTTTTATTCAAAGTGTTGAAAAGGAATAACTAGCTACAGGGGCATCTTATCACTTGTTCTCTTCTACTTCACATATAAAAATAACACAAGGGAAGAATCGAAAGTAGCACACGATTTTTAAAAAAAGTCAAAAAACAACTTACTTGAGAAAGTTACACAAATCCTGAACAACTAGCGCAATATGCTGGGTTATCCAGGTCTAAAATATTCCAGATATATCCATCAAAAATAACTTTTATCCAATTAAATCCCCAGCTTTCTGCTCAGGGTGAAACTCTTCGCCCAAGGAAAGATAACTCACCCGGATGACAATAGGGTAGTGCCCGAAGTCTTCCAATGGCACTCGGAAGGCCTCAGGCACTATCCTATTGTCATCCGGGTGAGTTGTGATCTTTCTTGGGCGTAGAGATTCACACTGTGCAGAAAGCTGGGGTTTTAGTTGGATAAAAGCTATTTACGATGGATATATCTGGAATATTTTAACCTGGATAAGTACTAGGACATTATTTGCGCTAGTTCCTTTCAGGATTTGTGTAACTTTTCTCAAGTAAGTTGTTTTTTGACTTTTTTTAAAAATCGTGTGCTACTTTCGATTCTTCCCTTGTGTATTTTTATATGTGAAGTAGAGAACAGAGTGGATAAGATGCCCCTGTGACTGAACGTACATGTATTGCATATGCATACTCATATGTATATAGGATCCAAATTAACCTGCAATTGTATTTATCACTTCTGTAATCCAGATTGAAACCAATGGACAAGAAATACTTTCTTTGACAAAGAAGAATACAAAGTAACCTAGTTAGAATAATCTAACTGTGTCTCGGTACAGGCCCCCACCACAGTTAGAATACCACCCATATACTCGCAATGTTGCAAAAAATTGCAGAATCGCACCGAAACGATTTTGAGGAATATAAAATGATTTGCACTGGGAATAACTACCAAAATAATCAAAACAAACCTTCTTGAGATTGCTTATGCCTTTTATCCCCCAAAATAATCCATTTAAATACGTAAATCCAATTAATTTTCTCAACGTTTTTCTCTCCATTCAAATGTTTACATTCGGAACTCTCTAGATTGTTCCTAGTAAATGCACTATCGCCCGTGTTTCTTTCTGCTACATTACGAATACACGGAACGAATTCTATCGTTAAACCGGGTCCGTAGGACAATATCATTTTAACGATAGAACATTCTATCTAAAAGTAACCAAGTCAAAAATGTTTTGTACTAACATTTTACTTTTTAGGTTATTTACTTTCATCACTTCTGAATTAAGAACTTTCCCATAGTATTTAATTTACAGCATCAACCACACAATACTAGTGAACTTTTCAAGAGAATCTATAATGTTGTGCAATAGCAGATACACATTGTATTTTGTTGCTTGCAATGACTATTGTGAAACAGAACCTAGCTGGCTAACAAGAAGTATCTCAACATTTTAACCAGACCTATAACTTCAGTATTATCTCCCTTTGATACAACATCAAGGAATATTTTATACTATACTCCAATTCTTATGACAACCAAGCAAATAAGAAAACGAGAAATCAAACAGTCATTTAATGCTTTATACATGTATCAATAATGCTGACCTTTGACCTTTACAACAGTATCATATTTTGTACCATAAAGGGGTGTTTACATGAAAACAAAACATTTTGACCTTGACCTTCCGATGAAAAGTCAATTTTTTTCCTAGTTATTGCATCACAGTGGTCATATCAATAATTTGAACCTTGAGCTATGAGTCCAATTAGACATCTTCCTCTTATGATTCTTTATGCATTATATTACACTACAAATGAGAATTCAGCTTGATTTTTGAACAGGCTCCAGTGCCATAAAACTTACATAAACTCACTTTTGATCTCAGTCTCACTTTTATCAAAGGAATTAATAGTAGAAAAGTAAGCTCAACTCACTTTTATGGCCATGAGGCCAGATCTACAAATTTAAATAACTTTAAATAACTCATATGAAAGTTTTCTGAGCTTTTACATTTTTAAAACACACTAATACCACCAGTCCTTCTGAATGATGATATCTTGCTGAGTATTAATCTTAACCATGCTGTAAATATTCCACATGCACAGAGCTTACGCTACTATTAGTTTTATAATCACATACACATCTATTAGTACAGGGAGCTTAAGAAAACCAACGAGAGATTTTGTGCCACAATGACAACAGGTTGATATACTGAATGGTTTCAAGTGAAGCTACAGGAATTAACACAAACAGCCATGAAACTTACACAGCCCTGGATCTCTAACTTTTTTCTGCTGGTTTGCTGAAATTTGGGGTGAAAATGATTGCAAAACATTGTAATATGTGAAAAGCACATACAGTAAAACAATTAACAACAGTGAACATGCCTATCATGAATCAGGCTTACAAACTCCTAGCAAAGTGACTTTTATTTCCTGTAGTATGAAAAGAAAAAAATAATCATGAACATGGTTATAATACTATGGTATTTCACTGTAAGATTGTTTTACAGTGTATGGACAAGGGTCTATAAATGCTAAAGACTGCTTGAAATAAAGATTACATTAAGAAAAATATAAAACATTTTAACTTAATGTCAATAAGCAAACTCTTATAGACTATGGCTACTTGACTAAGATGTAAAAAACCTTTAATATAAGTTAACGCGTAAAATCTTGTCAGTTACATCATTCTGATTATTGATTTGTTGAATTCCTCACAATACTTTATCAGAAAAAAAAACCTAAGAAGTTGCTTGGTCTGGTCAATAGAAAGCTTTATACATAGTTAAATCATAAAACTTATGCAGCCATTTTATCCAATATATCAATGCAAAACATATTTTTAACTATCATTTATAGAGAAGACAGAGAGAAGGAGGAAATTGAGATATCTGCCACAGACTCTGATGTATTCGCTTCTGGCTGGCAAATTGTTTTAGTGCAATGTCTTGATAATGCAGTTAATATCCAAGAAAATGTGATTCAAAACGAGGTTATAAAGGGAGGTAACTCACCACACTTTGTTTTGTTTGGACAAACTCGGACTCCAGAAGCCAGTGGGAGGCGTTGTACACCTTAATCTTCCCATCTCCCAGCCCCACCCACAAACGGGGAGAGATGGAGTGCTCAGGAACTGAAAGTAGATATAAATAATGTAAAATATCTATATCAAGCCCCACCCACAAACAGGGAGAGATGGAGTGCTCAGGAACTGAAATAAGACATACCTATTGTAAATATCTATATCAAGCCCCACCCATAATGGGAGAGATGGAGTGCTCAGGAACTGAAAGTAGATATAGCATACTTAAAATATCTAATGTTGGAGCAACAATAATATAAGAATGAATGAATTCATTTAGTTAATGAATTCATGTAGTATATTTTACATCATACATGCACATGCATTTTGTTCTGAAAATATCTGCAAGATTAAGCATTTTCAGCAGAGTTTATGGCTACATATCAACAGTGTGTACTGTATCTTTCATTTTCTCACCTCCTGGGGTATACAGTAGAGCGTGTACTGTCTTCCTCTCTCGTTCCCCGTAGTTGGGGTCAATACGGTTCTGTAACACCTCCTTGGTTTCCTGGGGGACGTTATGGTGACCCTCCTCCCTGTACTTTCTGTAGAAACACAGCTGTCTTGCCGCCTCCTCCCGGTTATTATGGTGAGCTGTCTCCTCATCAAGGCCACTGAGGGAGAATAAACACAAGTAAAACAATGGCTTTTCAATGTTAATAAGGGATTATGTGAACATGTAAAGCATTGGTTTATCAAAAAATTGAAATTATAATTCTTGTATGACATTGTGATATGTCAAAAGTCAAATTTTAACAATTTCATTTTTTTCAATAAGTTCTGATGATTAAAAAAAGAGAATTATGATTATACTACACAAAGTGACATAATTTAAATGTTGTTTTTAATATGCATTGTCTTGTGTTTTAACTTTCCTGTAGAGTTTATTGTAAACTTCAGTGACTATGACACATGATGATTACGACCTTTCATTATTTTACCCCTACCTCTGTAGCAGTGCGTCCACCAGCAGCACGTTTTGGGCAGCCTTCTGTATGGCGTGGATGTCCTTCGTGGATTCGCACACAATTTTACCTGCCCACATCTCCTCAATCAACAAACAGAAATCATCCCTCTCTTCCTTCAGCCAAGCCGTGAACCTACTCCCATCTAAAAAAAACAGCTTACATGTTTATATACATGTATAGCTTAACACTAAAAATCAAAGGTATAACAAAATGGAAAAGTTCAAAGAATATGATAATCTCTTATAATTTATGTAAAGCTATACTACTCTTATGTACTTCAACTTGGACATGTCAATTTCAATTTGATAAGTTCATATAAGAATCTATCACATATGTTTTCTTGTGTGAAATTATTCCATTTTACTCTTGAATAATATTAAGGATCAAGATCTATTTAGATTTTATCAATATAATTTTTTTGGTGGGACTGGAGGGGGGGGGGGGGTTTGACTACACTCACCTTTGTTTTTGATCCTTAGGACCTTGACCTGCTTTAGGAATGAAAACATAGACTTCTTCTCCAGTTCTTCTATCTTACTCAGTCGCATAATTTCCCTCATCTCAGTGGAAATGTCTTTCACGAAACAAAGTCTGAAAAAAACAAATTACTTTCACACATAAACTGACATATAGCTATGTGCTTTTAAGTTTTCTTTCACTAAACATGGACAAAAATGGCATATTATCTTTAAAAAATAAACATTATCTCAAAGAGCCTAATGTTTCTAAAAGAACATTACTAAAATATGCTCTAGACTAAGATTTGAAACATAACGGTTTTTAACCCCTGACCTTTACCTAAAAATATGGTTCAAGACTATATTTTGATCATCTTCTATCCATGAGCAATCTATGGGTGAAGTTTGAGCCTGACTGGGTCAAGAGGAAAGTTTACACAAAATGAAACAGTTTCAGAACAATTTACCTTCTGTCTTTTAGGACCACTTTTCTACCAGTCCTTTAACGAGGATATTTTTGAGATATCATCTCCCAGTTCCATAGTCTGTTTTACATAATGAGGACACTGTTTAGGATGTTTTACCTTCTGTCTGTGAGGGCCACCCTCCCTGTACTGTAGTCTGTTTTACATAATGAGGACATTTTGAGGATGTTTTACCTTCTGTCTGTGAGGGCCACCCTCCCTGTACTGTAGTCTGTTTTACATAATGAGGACATTTTGAGGATGTTTTACCTTCTGTCTGTGAGGGCCACCCTCCCTGTACCGTAGTCTGTTTTACATAATAAGGACATTTTGAGGATGTTTTTACCTTCTGTCTGTGAGGGCCACCCTCCCTGTACCGTAGTCTGTTTTACATAATGAGGACATTTTGAGGATGTTTTACCTTCTGTCTGTGAGGGCCACCCTTCCTGTACCATAGTCTGTTTTACATAATGAGGACATTTTGAGGATGTTTTACCTTCTGTCTGCGAGGGCCACCCTTCCTGTACCATAGTCTGTTTTACATAATGAGGACACTTTGAGGATGTTTTACCTTCTGTCTGCAAGGGCCATCCTCCCTGTTCCGTAGTCTGTTTTACATAATGAGGACATTTTGAAGATGTTTTACCTTCTGTCTGTGAGGGCCACCCTCCCTGTACCATAGTCTGTCTTACATAATGAGGACACTTTAAGGATGTTTTACCTTCTGTCTGTGAGGGCCACCCTCCCTGTACCATAGTCTGTCTTACATAATGAGAACACTTTAAGGATGTTTTACCTTCTGTCTGTGAGGGCCACCCTCCCTGTTCCATAGTCTGTTTTACATAATGAGAACACTTTTAGGACGTTTTACCTTCTGTCTGTGAGGGCCACCCTCCCTGTTCCATAGTCTGTTTTACATAATGAGGACATTTTGAGGACACACTCTGCTTCCAGAAGGTCGTCTTCATTAACGTTCAGACTCAGGCACTGCTTGCTGTTTTCCTTCCAGCAGTGGGTAAATGAGGCAAAGGTTTCCTGATCAATGACTGAAAACAACAAAGGTTTGACTTATCAATGACTGAAAACAACAAAGGTCTGACTTATTAAAAACTGAAAAGGACAAAGAACAGTTGGACAGTGGGAGTGACAATTAAAGTGTCCTACCCACACATAATCATTTAAACATTGATTTTTTTGTCTAAGCATATTTTCTATATTTGATAGATTCTGATCACTGGCACTAAACATAATGATCACTAATAGATAAAGTAAAAGCTTTTACATTGAGAAATCTTACAGTTTTGGTGGATTTGTGAGGGAGTGAGAGCCCGGAATAATCGACCGATTGTGTCTGTGTCACTGGTCATCTCCAACATAGAGACACATTCCACAAACTCATCGTAATCTGAAGAGAAATAAATAAAAATTCTTATTAACCACTGCGTTCACTGGTCATCTCCAATATAGAGACACTCTTCACTAATTCATCATAGTGAGCATGAATATATTTAAGTTATAATTTTAACACTGCATTACATTCTTAAAACAAAATAATCCATAATAGTAAATAAGCAGTGAAAGTATCTAGAAACAAAAGGAATAACTTACAGAGATCTTTCTGTGGGAGATTGATGGATTCCTCAAACTTCTTGTGACTGTGGATGACAGACTCCGTGACCGTGGGCCCCACGATATCCGGCAGGGCGTGAAATCCTGGCTTGGCCATTAACTTCTGTAACTCGGTTTCTTCCAGCTGTTGACAGATCTGTTGAACCACTCTACAATTAAAGGAGGAGAATCAATGGATGGATTCTGTATTGGCAAGACATACCACAGATGTATTATTTTAATTTTTCACAAATGTCTTTAGCTAAGCATCTATAAATAGTGTATATTATAACAGAAATTGAAAATTGATTCCCTAAATGAGCTATCCACACAAGTTTTGTATGAAATGCATGTAGTTACACTTGGATTTGCATTGGTCAATATTGATGTTTTTTGGAGGTAATACCAAACCCTGTTTACTACCTCATATGTAACAATCACTTACTGTTTTGGTAAGATCTGGGTGTCAATAGCTGCCAGTGAGATAAAGTTCTCCAGAGCGAGGATCAGCTTGTTACAGGCGAGGTAGAACATTCCCAGTAAGTAGATGTAGGAGGCCCGCTCCTGGAAATGCTGGCTTTTCTGGTGAAATAAAATATACAGTAAACTTTATTAATGGCATCTAAAATACCATGGATATGGCAAAGTGAGTTTAAAGCTTCAACCTCTTTTTATCTTGAAGTTTTTCTTGACTTGTTGGCAGAATCTTTTTACAGTTTTGTTATAAGCTCCTGATCCTACCTGTACAGCAATAGTCAGAAGTTTGATTGAGTCCTTCAGGTAATCTATCACTCGATTCCCAATGTCCGGCATCCTCAGTACTGGGGAATTCTGGGAGGAAAGAGCATTCACAGGAATGATAGCGATAGAATTCTGCTTCCGCAACTGGGGACGTCTGAATATATAAATCAAATTTGAAGTAATTTAAAAAATAAAGAAAGCAAATCACAAAAGAAGCATGTCTTAATAAAGCACACCAAACAGTGAAATCAAGAATCAGATACATGGATTATAATTTCTAATATTAAATTGTGTTTTCTGAACATTTATGGAAGATGTCAAACATATACTTGTAACCAAACAAGCAATCAGGAAATTTTTCTAAAAAAAATTCTTTCTTCATTACCATTTTACTATCTCATTAGAGATGGTGATTCCCGTCTGCTTACCTGCTTGGAACACTAGGTCCACTTTCCGAGATTTTGGCCTGCGGCCTTGTTTTGACCTCTAATTTGACCCAGTAGTCTGTTTTATCATTGATACGATCTTTCAGAAACTTTTTAAACATGCTTGTCTTCAGAACTTGCTCATAAAAGCTTTTCTCTGCTCCAGACTTAGAATCTAAATAAGCTTGTTTGTTAAATCTTTTAAATTCTACACGAGTTTCTGTTACCACACTCCTGAAAAAAAAACAAAAACACCAAAATCAAGTACTAGATGATTACAGCTGTTAGAAAGAAATATAACATTTTACTTTTAACTTTAGAAAATTTTATTTGTTTTTATTTGTTTATTTATTCATTTTTTTTTTTTTGCAATCTTAGACTGTTTGCCAAGAAAAGGGAGAATATGATTATCTCTATATAAAACCAAAAATGGTAATCTAAAGGTATAGAGAACAGGCATACCTAAACAGATTAACCATGAGTTCTAAACATCCAGCAACAATGAATTCATTCAAAGCTTGGATTTTTCTTTTTCTGTATGCTCGCTCAGCTTTTAAGTCAAAATGACTTGGTCTGAAAATGACAAAAAATTTATTTAATGGGCTTTCAATACCAGCATTGTGAGAATCAAAATATCAAACATGCTACCTGAAACCTTCATTTCAATCTTTATTTCAACAACTGTTCTCCTCTTGTAGTTTCATATTGACTACCTTTGTGTATCAACAAGGTCAAACTGGAACTTGGCTTTGCGGCAGACCTTGAGGAAGAGTTGTGCGGCACCTTCAGGGATTTCTGGGATATCTAGTAAATCCTCGATACTGTCGCTGTCCACAGAAACGGAAGATCGCGAGTCCTCGGCTAACTCCGGGTTTATACTCAGTGACCCCTCGTCTATATCTACCACCACTAGACCTCCAACCTAACAACAATTAAACACATATTTTAAAATTAAATATATAAAAGCTTTTCCTTTCATTTAATACTGTACGTGTACTTAAAATAGCGGACTTCACATTTTAGCGGCTTTAGCGCAGAAGATGATGCTCTAATTCATGAATACCACTAAGAAATCATTTATAAATAGAATATACGGCACATACATGTGTAGCACTAACTGATGATTATGCCAACAACTCCATATCCATTGATAGCACTAAATTTTGAATATGCAAAATTATGTATACGTACAGTACTTAGTTTTCTTGACTCTGATATAATTGGGTAATTTCTAACATTATTTTAAAAGTCATCTATAGAATTTATCTTATACTGACCTGATTGACTTGTTCCTTGTACTTGGAGTGGCAGCCCATCATAAATGTCCCCGGAGCATCCAGCAGTTCTATAGATTTACTAGACAGTATCGGCACATACGTGTACTTCCACTCAAATGGTAGGATAAAGTTTAGGAAGCTCTGAAAGCACAACAGTGATCAACTAGAGACCACATCTGGATGAGGGTCACCTGAGTTTCATGCTGTGACAAATTATTAAGCCCCACCATCAGGGACTGAAGCTTTGAAAACTTGTTGCCAGTTTACAACTTAATGTTCCCTTTCAGATTCCTGATACTATAAAACAAAATTTGCTGAAACTGATACAACCATTTTAGAGAAACTGAAAATATCATAAAGCTCATGCACTTTATGAGGCAAATGGTGGGAGTGACTCAGGTGACCTAAATAAAATGAATGTGATATTTCCTATAGTCTGAATTCTGTTGACTTTAAAATGCCTTCACTAAAACTGACCTCCATAACCACAGTAAGTAAGGCATAATTTGAGGCGATGAAGACAATACGATGTTCCATCAGGATAGAGGATACTATCCTCAGTATTTCCTCCGGGGGGAAGATCAGGAAAGGGAGGTACAATGGAATGTCAATCACTTGTTTCTCCGCCTCCTGTGAAGGTCTTATGATGAATGACACATCCTGGATACCAAACTCCTGAAAAAATTATACATATTATTGTGGATGATAAGTAGCTTCTATTGATCATTCTTTGAAGGAGAATAGGATTTCAGAAACTCAAGCTTTATTGCCGAAAATTCTCTTAATATTTCAGCCTTTATCATTCCCTTTTTCTAAATAAATGTTCTTTTACTTCTGGCCATCAGCCTATTAACTTAACCATTACATATATCACAAACTCCAGTTTTTCCCATTGACACGTGTATACTTACAATGGCCACCCTTCCAGCGGGGGGTACTGGGGTCATTGTCAGTTTATGAGTGAATAGTTTGATGTGGGTGTACATGTCGTCCTGTCCTGTCTCTATCTGGTGAACCATACTGACAACATAAACAAGTCTGATCAAATTCATTTACTTATGATAATTTGCTTATGGTGTCTGACTCATAAATTGCTCAAAAATGTTATTCAATCATAAAATCAGGTAGTTTGATTCCTTCATAAACATACAGTATAAGTGAAAATTTTAGAGAGACGCAAATTTAGTGATTTGTCCTCAAAAATTGGTATTTTATTTTTAGTGAGATGTACTGTAATTTTAGTGATTTTAAAAGGGTTACTAAAGAAGCTATTACAAATAAAAGCGCAATTAATTTTTAGCAATATTCAATTTTAGTGATCTTGGCACCCTTGCTAATAATGCCAAAATTAAATCCTCGCTAAAAATTCTGCTTATATGGTACATCAAATACACTTCCTGCCAATACAAGGAAGAGGGTACGAGGAACAACTGATTTTTCTGTGGGAAGTGAGATATTTACTGGAGTTACTTACTAGGACAGACAGTCCTTCATGGTCTCAAAGTAGGGGTATTTAGAAATGAGGACACAACAAAGAGGAATGAAGCAGCGGACATTTTCTGACGTGGTGGTAGAACTGTCACCTGATAGATCCAGGTGTGGAATTAAGCTTCCATCATACTCCTACAAATAACAGAATAAATTTATAATTATACATAATAATCTTTCTGTAGCACCCTATATAATAAAAATATCACTGTAAGGCACTTTACATAGAATGTACATAAAACTTTGCTTAGTACATAACTTAAGACCAATATTGAAAATGTTTTGCAAAAATAAAAATATGGTTGATTAAAAGTCTAGTAGTAAAAAAAATATCTGAAGAAGAATTCAGAAATTACAACAAGCTCCTACAAACAAAAAAATAAAAATACTCCAACAAAACTTGAACGAGCAAAGCAAAAATTATGACATACTCTGACAAAAAAAAAAAATATAATAAAAAGGAAAATCAACCCAAAAAGCAAAGATTCATACACAACAGTAATAAAATGCTGAGGGAAAACTTGCCCCATTAAAGCAAAATATGACTTTGCATAACTAACTTCCTAGCAGGTCTACTTTTAGCCCTATTTTGTTTTTGGAGGGGGAAGATTTTGAAAAACTTTTCCTCATATATATTTAAATAAATTTGAATCCTTATTATATTGGGATATTTGCATATTAAAGATTGCTGTTCAGTTGTATTTCTATATTAAACTTTGACTGTACTGTAGCCTCACCCTAACCTCAGATGCCATTGGCATAGTGTGTCTGGAAAGGAAGTGGAAAATGTTTTAAAATTTTTAGAAGTTAATGAAGAAATGGATGCTAAAGACTCACACTCAACAAAAATCACTAGTCACTTCAGCCTCTGTCTTATGTGAGCTAAAAATGCTTAAAATATGTGAGAGGGACTTATTAATAATTCACTCTGACAGCTTGAGCTTTCTAACTTGTACACAAGTAATGCTCGTATGTGATTAGACTGACCTTTTCCAGTAAGTAAGGTCTGTAGAAGGTTACACAGGTGGCATACGTCTTGTTGCCATGGATATCTGTCAGGACTAAAAAGTGGGTCAAGGTGTCACCTTTGTGTTTTGTAATTCGGAGATCATCTGTGAAAAAAAAAAGGAATATAAAAATGTGCCAGATTACCAGTACCCCATGCTTAAGTTATCTCTTCTTATACAAATATTTAAGCACATTGCTCTATAAAAATATATTTTAAAACAAACAGATTTTTTTGGGTATCCCCCTGCTTTGTCAAATAAAATTTCACAGATTTCATTTTGCACTCTGAAGAATGAGACTCATTTATGATACAAATGTAATGACTTATTCATTTCCTGCTTTGTGACATTTAAAATTCCTAAAGCTATTTTCAAAATATTTTTATGGAATTTTGCTCTCTGAAGAATGAATATGATACTGGTTCTTTAAATTTGCACTTAGATATGGCTAATTCACAGCTGCACTATGATACATCTATATCCACACACCGGGGAAGCAGAAGTATTGGATGGACTTGATGACTTCATCAGGGACGGGGAACTGTTGATTGCTGACGAGGGGACTACAGTAGATGGATTTCTTTGTAATGGGACGCCGGATAGACATGTGTCGGCTGATTGACCCCGGGGTCACAGAGGTGCTCCTGAGGGTCATACGGGACTGGTGCATGGCTTTGTTAAACTTGCTCTTTGGGATGGAGTCTAGTGTGTTGTAGACATTGGCCGACTTCAGAAAATGGTGATGTTTAGTGTCATGCTTCAAATCAGACTAAAATAAAAGTATCATAAAGTCAAGCTTCAAATCCAATTAAGTACAAAGTATCAATGTTATTTTTATACTAGGCTTTGTTTCCATCTAAAGTACAAATTATCAATGTTGTCATCATGTGTATGGTACATGTACTAGTTCAGAGTAGAAGGAAAATTAATAAAAACTGGGTTTTTTTTAAAGCATCAATGAACTGATTCAATGAAAATGTTGTATAATTATTAATTAAGATCTTTATTACTGTGAAATGCCTATCATCTTTATTAAATTAAATAACAGCATATTGGATTAATTATTCCTGATAATCATTGATAAACTGAGTGTCATATTATGGTCAAAAGGCACTGATCTTCCTGTCTCTTGACCAAAGTTAAACCTGGAATAAACATAATAATGGGTGTAAGATTACATGGAGTGAATTCCTACTTTTAATGTCCTATACAAAACAAGATTTTTTTTCCTGACAATTTTGTCAAGAGCTGAATTTGAAATTGCAAATAGATGTATATGTTTATACAAACATGAAATAATTCAACATCCAATGTTTTTCTCTATATATATCTTTTAAGCGTGCAATTAATTTAAAAGTATATTCTCACACTTTGTGATATGATAAAATTGATGGAAACAATGTACAAACGTTCCAGACTTCATATACATTTATGATTAACCCATTGGTCTGTCCTATTCCGTATGTGCATATAAATATTACCAAATAAAAAATCAACCTAAAAAAAATTAATTGCAGAACTATAGCTTACTGGAGAAAAAAAATTCTGGAGAGCTACAGTTCTGCAGCTACTTTTGATAGTAGACATGTCTCATACACAATGTTACCTGAAGAAGAGGATACTCGTAGTCCTGCCTGGGGTGAGGGAAGAAGTACATCATCGTGTTGGAGGAGACGGCAGAGAGGACCTGGGGCTGGAACTTCATCTCAAACAGGTTCTCCAGGATTTCCTCTGGCTCCATCTACAGTATACCACATCTAACTAATGTATGATATAATATATTATAAGATATGACATACAGAGTTATTTTTCACCCCAATTTATTTTTGCCTGTTTACAATCGCAGACAATTTTGACCCCTTTTAAATTTGTCCAGTCATAGTTTCAATTAAGAAATAATTATACTGTAGAATTCGCCCTGTTTTAAATTTGCCCAAATGAGGGTAGGGCAAAAAGGGTGAAAATAAAACAGAATGAAAATTTCCCTGTATACAGTACTATACATACAGGACAGATTTGTGACCAACAGAATAGTTCACAAAATATTGTGGATTTTATTTTTCTAATACAAACCCATTTTCAGTTTTAAAGCATACATTGTATATTCCCCTGAGTTGTTTCTAAAACATCTCAATTTTTCTTCTTTTTTAGATACAATCAACAATTAAAACTGTTTTGTTTTTCGAATACAAACTATATACAAATTTTCTTATCTTATTTTTAAAAAATAAGAAAGAAATATTATTTAAATGATATTATATATAGTATTTTCATCTTCTCAATATTGACATCTATGATGAAAATGAAAAAAATTCAAAAAGTTTATTTCAAATATACATTCTTTATATTAAAAAGATGGTTTGGCTATACAGAGTAAAATGCATGAGAAATTGTTGAAACTAAGTTTTTTAAGGAAAGACATTCTATTTTTCAAACTCCCCAATTGAATCCAAAGAGGAAATCAAAATTATCTCACAACATTATTTCATTTCTACAGGACACCACCAACCATTTTACCAAAGATATGGGTCCTTGAGCCCTTTACATTCCCATTGAAGTTAAGTGTTAGAACTTAATTCTACTTAACAGTGGAAAGACACAAGGAAGTTTCAATTACTGATGTAAACCAGTGTAACTTTAACAAGACATACAGATAGACAGAAACATGGAGAAAAAAGTTATGTGTGTGTTAAAAACACAATACATGGAGCATAGTAATTTTTTTTTTCAAACATGCAAATGGTATTTTTTAATTTGATAAAAAATGTTAAAAATAAGAAATAAAAATTATTTAAATTATGCACTGTATATATTATATAGTGCATCGTCTGAGACCAATGGTCAATCTGCCATAAACTTACTGACTGGTGAATGGTGATGAGTAATAGACAAGATGACCGTGGGTATACAACAATGTGTTTAGTGTTATATATCTGCATTACCTAAGACTACTTTAGGACTATGAGTATATAGGAATAGTTCTTAACACAGAGCATTTATAAGTGATTCTGTTGGATATGTTACATACAGAAACATTCAAGTACTACTAGAAATACATGTATAATAATTTAGATGCCCGATTATTAAGACAAGCGGTAAATTATCATGATGAAGCTATGGTGTAATGAATACTCACTAGTGATTTCTCTGGTATATAAGTCCCATCAGTTTATAATCATGTTGAAACAAACACTTACCCCTGATTTCTCGGGTATAAGTCCCGAGTTTTCGTCGAGACCAGCCACCAACATCAGATCGATGAGGCTGTTCTGTAGCCGCATGATGTCGGACCCGGCTAACCCGCCCGCCATACTGTTGTCTCCCCTTACTGCCAGGTCAACTCAGCCAGTTCTAGTCCCATCTGAAAAAAAATTTAGTCTCTTCCGTATAAAACACTGCAGTTAAAGCATGTGTCGATCTGTACCACTAATATCATGGCTTAGAATTCCTTATAAGTTATGAACTAGTACATCCCTGACTGATATTTGTAAGTGTTGGTATCTGAACAACTAACGTAAACAAATAAGGGGAGATCATTTCTCAGAAGTAATCATTTACCTGATGATATTACGCTTGTCAACAGGTAAAGTGGACTGATTACGCATATCCTTATCACAGCTACACAGAACACTAAACATGTATAAAGTATCACATGTACAGGCCTCTCTTTCTATACATACAGAATATTAATACATGTATATTTATACATCTCTCTGTTGACTGGGCCAAGAAGGAACTGGAAAATTTATCCTATGATTTTACAAAATGAGCCAGAACAATACAGAACTTAGGGAAGTCACACCATATGAAAGTGACTATAAGTGACCGAGAACATCAGAGGAAGTCGTCTTTGGAGTCCAGACATCCACTGATTCATTTCCTTGCGGCTACAAAAATTTTACTTAACAATATGTTTTAATAAATTTATATATGTTCAGCATTTCCTAGAAATAACACACATTAGTCTTTTATCATTTCAATGAAGTATTTCTCAGGTTAGATATATGTATTGGTTGAAATGAGATAGAGAAGCACTCACTGACAGATGATTAATCATTGCGTTAAGAAAAATAAAATTGTAATGATTTGCTGCCAGATTATATTAGTGATGACATTTAAGAAATAAACAACGTTATTCAGTGAACATGGCGTTATGAAAAGCAATTGCTCTGCTGGTATATTACTTGATATGCGCTAGCGCATCATGGAGAGACTGCCAGCAGAGCTCTGCTCTCATAATGCCATGTTCACTGAATACTTGTTGTTTATTACTTATATTTGCATTCTTTGATTTTTTTTCAAGAATTTCACAGGAAATCCTGACTTACATAAGGACGTGGATTTTTGTCTTCATTAAAGAAAAACATATGGCTTTAAAATCATTACACCTGATCAATGCTACTTTTCTCTAATAAATCACAAACAATTTATAAAGTATTTCCCTCTCAAACACAGTTATCTGGATACAAGCAGCGCCGTCATCACCTTTTCTTAATTTTTGTTTGATGCCAGTTGTGGCAACCATCGATCAACCTTATTGAAACCTTCTGACAAAAATCAATAATTTAACGCTATGATGAAAAATGAGAATGCTTCCATAATGATTATTCTTGCAGAATGCTTTTCTATGATTTTTTTTTTGTCAGATATACCTTCCTATAAAGTAAGTATTTTCTAGCAGATGTTGATCATGTAATCACTACTTAAATTCATCAAGTTGTATTGTACATACTATACACTCTGACTGTAAATAGAAAATAGGGAAGACTTTTATAAGTATGTATAGTTATCTCCTGTATTTGTATAGTAAATACAACTTACTTTTGCTTCTCTATATAAAATATAATGTAATGTATAAATTTTGCTTCTCTATATAAAATATAATGTAATGTATAAATTATGTGCACAGGGGAAGATTAACTAATTATCCAATGTAGAAAATTATGCCATAGATTAACAAACTTTAATCAAATTAATTAAACATATTTGGTCCATCAGTTCTTATAACCACTGGACTATATAATTCACAGTTCTAGTCCTCGATCTATACAATCCAGTAATTACAATAAAGCAAGGTGTATTAAGTGTTTAGTAAATAACACATCCAATCCCTGTTTCATTTTTAAAATCTCACACAT